GACTTATCAAAAAGTTTTGCAGTAAAGACAGCAGTGATTCATCGTCTCTCATGACATCCGTGGCCCCCTGTGTTATGAAAGCCTCCGATGAGGTATACCTTAATATACCAGGCTACATTATCTAAATTAATTGTTTTGTATTTAAATAGTTGCGGACAATTGTGACAGGGTGTCTATCAGGGGACGCATCTAATATGTTGTCTAAGTTATGCAATTCCGAGTCCAGAGCTGAGGTTTGTTCATATTTTTAATTTGGTTATTGTATGCCATTTTTAAAATTGTTATTTTATTTTAGATGACTAAATGTATGGGAACTGGATTCTCCAAAATTACCGACCGATCAGCCAGACAAGCGATTAAGGGATCAATTAAAGATATAACCGTATTATACATATAAATTTGTATTTGTAACTGAATGGTTGTATAATATGTTAATTGCCTTTTTGTATATTTCAGGCATGTCTCCAAAATGTCAATACAGGTTCATCATAAATGAGCAAGCAATACAACATAATATTTTTTCTTTATGCTAACAACCGAGCTAATTTTATATTTTCTAAATTAATTGTGATAAATTATCACTGATAATAGAGTATTAATATTAATCTTAACTCAATTACAATGATTTTATATTGTATCTAGTTTAACAAACCACTTATTATTGTGTTATGACAGATAAGATTAATTAATAAACATTAAAATGCAATATATGTTTTATTATAAATATTAAAATAAATATCTAAATAGCATTACTATATTAGTAAAAATTATGCATATTTATGATAATAATTTAGAAGTTATTTTTAATTACATCAATACAATATAGTTTAGGATACTTCAATAACTAATGTCATTATAAAATAATAAATTAAAACTTTTTACAATTTATTTTTGAAAATGTACTTTTCATTAAAAAGTAAGTCAAAAGCGTGGATTGACCTAAAATTTTACTTTTAAAGTTCCAGATTATATTATATATGAATAAATTTATCAATTTTCCAACATGTGTTGAGACAATTACCTAGATATATGACCAATATATTAGTAGTTTGTGTCTATAAAAATAAAAATTCTTTGTCTTTTTAATTTCTGAGACAAAATAATAACAAATAATTGATAAAAATTAGAAATAAATTCTTTGACTTAAAATGAATTTGCTAAAATACCTCTCAATTTATCTAACTTTCTTAAGTGTATTTATTACTTCAATTATATGTCGTAAGTATTGTCTAATTACTAATTGTCATAATTTGTATAAAATATTACGATAATTCTTAATGAGTTATTATTGTTAATTTTGATAGCATAGGAATAATTGTAACAATTTAAATACATTTTGTAATCTAAATTTTATTATTTAATATAACAATAATACAAACACTTATAAACTATTTTGATGTTATAGTCGACGATGAGATACCGGAGCTCTCAGAGCGCAGCCTAAACTTAAAAAAGATGAAAAACTCGAAGGCATCAAAAGATGTGAAGTGGGAAAAGGGTCACAAAAGGGGGAGGGGTGGGAATAAACTGCATAAAACTCGACACAGCAAACACGGTAAACATGGCACAGGTATGGGTACCGGTATGGGCGCCGGTGTGGGCGCCGGCATGGGTACGGGTTTAGTGTCCAGTTTATTTGGCGGTAGTGGTGGTGCTAATCCAATGAAACCCATGCAACCAAATGGTAAAATATTCAATTCATGTAAATTCAAATAACTTGATATTTTGATAATTTTAAATATTTAATAAAATTATTTTTACTTTTATATACTAGTACCAGGAACAGTGATTGACATCGGTGTAGATGAGCATGGCAATTTTATACCAACTGGTGTATCAGGGTCTAATGCTGGTGGTGTGGTGGTGAAGGACCCAAATGGAAATACCATTCCCTGGAATGAGTTCACAAATACTAATAATAATAATAATAAGCCTATTACTGAAAACACAGCAAATACTGGCAATACAGGCAATGCTGTGGACAGCGGATACGGTAAAGGTATTTACGATATGACTGGCAATGATAGCACTGATAAGCCAATAGGTATTCACTTATTACATAATATTGAATTTTCGTAATTTAATGAAAATTATGAAAACTATTAAAGGATCTGAAGTGACAACCGATGATGACTTGGATGAGGGTATGGATGAATTCGGACGCTTAATGAAAAGGAAAGGGAAAGGCACCTTTTATTGAGAATAATGATCATATTTCTTAAACTTATTTATTATAATTTTACAATGTATTTATTATTATTTATTTATTTATAAATTATGTAATTATTAAAAGTAAATTATATTAATAATTTCCAATATTAAGTCTTTATTTAACACTTAAGTCAATATCTGTTACCATCTCTTAATGCTTAATGAAGGTCTTTATGTGGATCGAAAACCTTGGGCTAATCCATTCAAAGCCTTCTCATTTTGAAGTCATCCTGATAATAAATTATTTTTTGTTAATTGCTAAATATAGAATTTACTATTATATAAAAAACGTAAAAAATGTTTACAAGTTTTATATAATCAATGTACCTAATGAATATAAAGTGCACGAAAATTGCACTTCAGTTGCAGTAATGCATATAATTTCTAAGAATTCATACAATTAATCAATAAATTAATGTCCTTTAAGTTTATATTAAGTTCATTTAAGTATGAAAACATTTTCTATTGTATATTTGTACAATTATATATTGTTAAGAAAATATATTTATATTATTGCACTAGAATAGTCCTTAAGACAACTATAGGTATATAAGGAAGTGAATTCTTGAAAATAAATCTCAGCTTTATCAACTATTATAAATTCTTAATATATTAAATCAAAATGAAATTGTTTTGCTTAATCTCATTGGTATTAATCTTAATATTGAATTCAAACCTTTCTTATGGTATAAGTAATGATGAGTTCAAACAAGTGAAGACTGCATACAATTTCACGGGAAAAGTGATTTTAACGACCGGATCCAGTTCTGGCATAGGGGAGGGTATTGTCAAACTGTTTTCACGATTGGGTGCCAGTGTTGTGGTCACCGGTAGGAAAGCCGCTGAAGTCAAACGAGTGGCAAAAGAAGCTCAAGAATTATCGCCAAATAATTTGAAGGTTTGTTTGCTTCGTATAATTAATTGAAATGTTAAAAATAATTATTAAAATTATTTGTTTAGCCGCTGGAAGTGGTGGCAGATGTGGCCAAAAGTGAGGATTTAAAGCGACTTTTGAGTGAAACGATCAAAACTTTTGGAAAGTTAGATATTTTGGTGAATAACGCAGGGATGGGCCGGTATGCGAATATTAAGGACGACGATATACTGGCTAACTTTGATCAGACTATGAATGTCAATCTAAGATCGTATATTGAATTAATTCATATGTCTGTCCCTTATTTGGACAAAACCAACGGAAGTATTATTAGTATTTCGAGTATCGCTGCTCTCAGACCGGTATTAAATATAAAAATAAATTGTAATTTAATATTAATATCAAAAATTTTTTCAGACTTTTATTGGACTTTCGTATTCAGCGTCCAAAGCAGCCCTCGATATCGTATCTAAAGTTATGGCCACAGAATTGGGTCCAAGAATAAGAGTCAATGTTATTAAGTATAAGATTTAAAAATATTAATTTATTCAATAATTACTAAACATTAAATAACTAACATTTATGGTATAGTCCGGGTCCAGTGCTAACAAACTTTATAAGCAATAATCCGGTGGCGGATCAGGAAAAATTTGCAGCAAATTTTAATGAAGTGATTGGACGGATACCACTGCGAAGAGCCGGGTCACCCCTAGACATCGCCAAAGGGGTGGCATTCCTGGCATCACCTGAAGCGGGCTTTATTACCGGCGCTAATATTGTGATGGATGGAGGAATTATTAATATCTAGGTTAAAACATTTTCTTTCAGGAATATTTTGAAATTAATAAAATGATTATATAAATAAAAATAGTCTAAATAATACTAATTGTAAATTTAAAACAATTAATTCAATAAATACATTATTATTAGTTAATATTTTCTAAGCTTATCCCCCAAATCAAATAACTGTGACATTTAAAATGTCAAACTCGGTGTGCTACTCCAAACTAAATTAGTAATGTAGTTTTAAGTGTACTTAAAAGTAACTTACTTAAGTTTATGTTTATTATTAATCAATAATTACTTTTTATTATTATTTCATAAATTATAATTTCAGATTCTGTTGAAAGCAAATTGTAAAAATAATTAAATATGCAATAGTTTAGCTGAAAATAGATAATTATAAATCTAACTTTTGGCGGATGAAATCTGCAGTAAATCTAAATGCAATTTATAAATTGACTATAAGTTTAATTGTGAACTTTAATTATTTTATTTGAAATATGTGTTTATTATGATCAAAACAGCGCGGTTATTTTATTTTTATCGTTTGTGGTACCGAAATTATTCACATTCAAAGAGTTGGTTTCCCAAATAAAGTTTGGCATTTTCAAAAATCTCTATGGAAAAATATGCTGTGTATAGCTTGAGATAAACTTCACGTTAGAAAGCATTTCCGTAAAAATGGGGTAGATCGTGGGTTATTGGTCCAAATCTGGTTAAAGTGTGTTCCGAAACCTAATTTCGAGTTAGAAAACACATTTTTATCAGATATGAGTGATAAAACTATTGAATTTAATGAAATTATTAGAAAATTCACACGAAAATATATGCCAAAATATAGTCGGAAGACCAACTCTTTGAATGTGCATAATTTCGGTACCACAAACGATAAAAATAAAATAACCACGCTGTTTTGATCATAATAAACACATATTTCAAATAAAATAATTAAAGTTCACAATTAAACTTAAATTCAATTTATAAATTGCATTTAGATTTACTGCAGATTTCATTCGCCAAATGATAATAGCGATCTCATAATATTAATATAATATCATTTTCTGTATTAAGTATTCTGATCATACAATTATGATGACATTCATTGAGTCCGATTGCTCCCAAATTGTACTAAATATAATTGAGATTTAATTNTTAAGTATTCTGATCATACAATTATGATGACATTCATTGAGTCCGATTGCTCCCAAATTGTACTAAATATAATTGAGATTTAATTAAGTATCATAAGTTGTCAAACACTTGATAGTTTTTAATTGGGGCAAAATATACGGTATGTGTGGTTTAAATTTGTAGACTAACCAAGACCAATTAGGACAGAGGTGTCAACAGATGCTGATAACTGGTTTGTCACAAATGGAGACATTAATTGAGTTAAACTTTACCCGTTAATTTATTATTTTTTCCACTGATTAATAAAATAAGTTATTTAAAACAAACCATTAATTTTCAATATTGTTATATAAGTTAAAAATCTTGTGTTAAAAATGTTAATGTTTAAGATTAACTATACAGTAAATATAAATTAAATTAATCATTTTAAAATACTATAAAGTTATATCTGTGTGGTCATCAAGATATGTCCATTAATTTAAGGCCATTATTAATAATTTAATTTTGATTAAGTTCAAGGTGAGGCAAATTATATTAAAATTAAATGATGAAAATTAAATAATTAGTTGTACTTAAGTATAATATTTAATTAAATTGAAATTTAAATCATATAAAAATTAAGTTGAATATTAATTATGTATAAGATTTACTTAGCTGACAATTAGGAATGCGATTTTAAAAAAAAAAAATTTATTTAAATTGATTTCATAAACATATTGATAAGTATCGAAAGATTTAAAATCCTGTTTAAATAAAAGCTATTACATTGTAACGCTAGTACCGGTAAGCATTGTTTTCCACAATTGCATTCATATGTAAATTATTGACTCAATCAGTGATAATCACGACACAAATATTGGACCAAATTATTCACGTCATAGTCATTACTGTTAGACTCGATTTCAATAACAAGTTTTCACACAATTAACATCATATAACGTAATTTCAATTACAAGACAAAGTATAGGTGACTAGAAATGCGTGATATGTATGAGTTTTGCGGCGTTTCTCTAATCGTGTCAATACTAGTGGTGTGGAGTGTGTCGCACACGGAGTCGGCCACCACTTACATACCGGCCACCGCAAAACTCATACATATCNTCAATTACAAGACAAAGTATAGGTGACTAGAAATGCGTGATATGTATGAGTTTTGCGGCGTTTCTCTAATCGTGTCAATACTAGTGGTGTGGAGTGTGTCGCACACGGAGTCGGCCACCACTTACATACCGGCCACCGAGACGAGCACCTGGACCGAGATATCTACGGACTCGAGTGGCCAACAGTATATCATAAAGTACGTGGAGGTGATAGACGTGGCCCAAGAGATCAAGGATGTGATCCGGAACGCCCTCACCTGTACTCAGTGTACGCGCAAGAAGTGTACCCTAAGTCTGAAGCGGTTAACCGATATATTCTGGCAGTTGTACCAAACCAATAAAGTCAAACACGCCGCCTGTCTCGCCGCACTCGACCCCTTCATACTCTTGGGGCTCAGGGGCAACCTCACCAATCTATCCAGTGGCTGACACCCATACGACTCGGCATTCATTTTTTCTTACATTTATGTAAAATTTTATCCTAAATAAAAATTCATTCACTTTAATTACCGGCATTAATCATTTTATTTAAACTGTAGGCTAACCCATAGTGGATGTTTATGTGTTAAATGTTAATATACATAATTACAAGTACATTAAGAATCGATAATAATTAAAATTATTTCAAGCAATGTTTATATCCCAAACATTAATATGATTTACAGTAAATGTGTTAATATTGGTGATCAAATTATAAATAGCCCTTAGAGTGAAACTTTTAGTGCACTTATAGAATACAATGGTTTGTATTTTCTTGAGTTTTCACAATGAATTCTCCCATCGGTTATATGAATGCCCCCCAAACCACAAGCTCTTAATATGCGGTCAATTAATGTGAATATTGTGCACAATGTGTCCAAAATTTCTAATCATTTCAAGTGATTGTCAATGGTTTGTATCAATTGAGACATTAATTCATGGGAATCGATGGTAGCGATGAGTGTCAGTCTCTTAAGTTAGCGACACTTAATACCAATTGGTTTTGAATTGATTGCCAGTGATATCAGTGGACGACATATAGTGACAAATATCAATTAATTCCTCCATTCGTGATAAACCAGTCATCAGCATATGAACGGACTTCTCATCGATAGTCGCAAAAATTGATTTCATAGTCTTTACATAGATTTTGACAAATCTTCCAAATCTATAGACGTCTTCGCCGTGTATTTAAACCAAAACGTGTTTAGTCTCGGAAACGACGAGTCATTTGACTCGCTATAGCTTAACACAGACATCGATATGCCTTTTACCTTGAGCACAACTTGACACCCGAGTGGATACACGTCCAGAATCTCCAGACGTCCGGACTTACATGCGATTGGGTTTCAATTGATCGCAAACTGTGATCAAACTTTGCTAAAACTTGTTGATTGTGTCGAGGTAATTTAATGCTATAAAAATATTTTTAAATTTTATCTTTAAATTAGGTATTGTATAAATTGAATAAATATTTTTAACAAGTATATTTTATTTTATAATTATTAATCATCTTTTATTATACTGTAATAAACAATTAGTTATTATAAATGCATTGACTTTATTTGATAAAATGTACAGTATTATTGTATGTTTAAATGTACAGTAAATATTCTGATTACGATATTAGAATAAACACATAAATAACCCTGGGTGTGTTTAATAAGGTGTCCTAGGGCAATTTGCGGGCCGAACGCATTCAACACTATTGGCGCTGAGTTTGATGTAACCTGGCTTACAGTCACACCCGCTCTGACACTTTGCCACACATTTTCGTGGACCAGAATAATGCCGATTCTGACACGTGTTGGGACAAGTGTCCACACACTCCACGTGCCGCCCGTGCTTTCCACAGTCTATTTGATACAAACAAATAAATAATTATTTTAAAACTGAAATCACTTACAGATAGGACTTCTGGCACTGGCTATCATTAAGACCGCGTAAAACGTAAGGACAGATACCATAAGAAAGTTTTTCATAGTTTCAGTTGTTTTTGTAATTACAGTAGTTTTAATTTTGTGTCGCCTTATACAATTAAAATTTGCGACAAAATATGATTTCCATATTTTTGTACAAAAAAGTATTAAAATATAATTATTCTTTAAAACTATAGTTAAGCCTATATTGGATTTCCGGTTGATTTCATGAGAATGTGTTCAAAAGTTTTATATTTTCGAAGTGATTCCAAAAATTATGTAAATTCATGACAAAAGTTGTTTTTTGCTATTTTGAAGGTTTTCAATATAAAAATAAATATTATAAGTTAAATTAATTTAAATTAAAACCCACACACTTATAACTCAAATTGATTTTATTTAATTTCTAATAACAAATAATGATAACAAATATTGTGACCAAATATTAATTACAGTAATTATGGGTATAGACAAACATAGCATAACTGGTTACATAATATA